AACACTGTGGGCATTCGACATTTTTCAAAATTTCTTCTTTTGTGTTCCACAAAACAGATTCTTACAGGAATGACATGAGAGTGAAAAAAATTATGGCATAATTTTTATTTTTGGCGAAAAAACTCATTGTAGCTCCTAAAAGAACAAAGAAAACCTCCAAAGAAAAAAACCCCCTCCTTGTTCATTTGAACTGTCTATGTTTATTCTAACTATTCTATTATTGTAATATGTTTTATATTACTGCAATATGTTTTCCTTCATCATGCACTTTAAGAATTAAAATGATGAAGTCTTTATTACTATTTCATTTTTAAGGAACTTGAATTTTATTTCTTTATTTGCAGTGTGCAACTGTTTCTCGCAGCGTGTCTCGAGAGGAACAACGGAGCGGTAGCGTATGTGATGCTGGCTGCAATTTCACAGCCGTTAGCATAGGCAGCACATTTGTGAATTTATTGACGGAGATGGGGAGTTGGCTGAATTTGCGAGTGGCATGCTGAAACATGTCCATCAGGCTGTCAGACTCGTCATTATCACTTAGGCCGCCGAGCCTGCCCGAACGTGCGCCTTTCCAATGCTCACCTTCCTCCAGCCCATCATCTTATTCCACCGTACACTGTGTCTACACTGCAGGCGAGCGATGCAGCGCTGCCAGTGTAATCAAGCAAGCCGTCTACAAACCAAATGCGTGTTCCCTGCTTTGTTTTGCGTGCTTGCAATATAGAGGGCTTTGTTTTAAAATTATGAAATTATTATATTAAATGTAATATTATTTCACAGAATTTCACACATGTAGGTCCAGCTTTTGATAGTCCAGTTCACTGGGCTCTCGCTTGATTTGAGCCCTCAAGGATTCCTGTCCACGTCAGAGTTTTCTCTAGAGTGTAGAGCTTTTGTCTTTTCATGGATTACTGCAAAATACTTCAGGTTAAAGACTTAAAAAAAAAACAAGGCTCCAATTAAAAGCAGAAAGGGTTCGTTCTGACCATCTGATGCCACACACGCTTAAAAATGGTTCTTTGTTGTATTTGTGGTTTCATGAAGAAACTTTAACATCCATGGAATCTTTCCACTGCACAAAAAGTTCTTTAGAGGAAAAAAAAACCAAGACCAAATACATTAACATTGTCATGTACATTACCATGCCAATCCCTCTGAGAGTTGTCATGACAGAACTGCAGTTAAACACTATATACACAGAGAAAAAAAATAGTATTACACTACTTTTACTGTAGATTTATGAGATTAGCAGGGAAATCACTTTGAGGGGTTTTTGTAGATTTTTCTGGAAATTGTAAACAAAGATACAGATTAATGATGAAACATTTGTAATGATAACTCAACACAAATTATGCCGTAACACTTTACTTGAAGGGGTGTGCATAAGACTGACATGACACCTACATAATATGACATGACACATGTCATGAATATGAAGGGTTTTTTATGCATGTTTATGACAACTGTCATTAAGTGTCATTCGCTCAGTTATGTCATTTTTAATGCAAAGATGACATTATTTGACCTAACCCTAACCTAACCCTACCCCTACCCTTACCCCTAACCATAGCCCATAACAAAGACATCTCAAACAATGTCATCTTTGCATTAAAAATTACATAACTGAGCGAATGACACTTAATGACAGTTGTCATAAACATGCATAAAAAACCTTCATATTCATGACGTGTGTCATGTCATTATTATGTAGGTGTCATGTCATGATTATGAAGGTGTCATGTCAGTCTTATGCACACCCCTTCAAGTAAAGTGTAACCAATTATGCTATGCGTTTATCATAGTGTTGATAAGTCATAGTCTCCGTGATATTCTTACTCTAAATATGACTCGCATCCTTCAAATAATATTGTGATATATTATGATATTAACTGCTATGTTATGAGATTATACATTTATCATCCACCATCCACCATCTTTATTCTTTAGCATCTTATAAGAAACTGAGTTCTGAAAAAGTAATTTATATCGCTCTAAAAAATGTTTAAGTTGTTTATTTTTCTCACATTTTACCTGCAACTATTTGCTGACATTGATTTGATCTTTTGTGTAATGTTTGACTTTTTATTACTTCATGAAAATATATATACTTAATTATTTCTAAAATATTTCTTATTTGCTTCTCCAAAACAAAATGAATTTCAACAAACAAGCAAACAAATGAAGTCGAGTATAAACAACCTAATTTAATCTTTAATAAATAATTCCATAATTTTTTTTTCTATTCTTTAGGTAACTTTTTGAGTAGGGCTGCACAATTAATCAAATTTCTAATCGCGATTACAATTATGCATGCCACAATTAGGTAATCGTTCAAAGCGGCAATTATTCGTTCAAAGTCCCCTTATGTTGTTCTGCACGCTTAAGAGGCGTTTTTTTCTTTCTGCATGTTATCTTAGGGGTTTTTCCATTGTTTTAATTTTAGTTTTCGTATAACATTATAATACCATTCATATTTTTACTTTTTTTATAATTTAAAGAAGAAACCAATCCGATGTATAGTTGACATTTGAGGCTTAATACTATAGAAAAGCACTAAAAGTTTTTCAGTTACACTCTTAAAAATAAAAGTGCTTCACGATGCCATAGAAGAACCTTTTAGTCTAAATGGTTCCATAAAGAACCTTCAACATCTGAAGAACCTTTCTGTTTCACAAAAGCTTCTTTGGGGCAAAAAAAGGTTCTTCAGATTATAAAAAGGTAAGAAAGAGATGGTTCTTTAAAGAACTTCTGACTGAATGATTCTTTGTGGAACCAAAAATGGTTCTTCTATGGCATCTCTGTGAAGAACCTTTTGAAGCACCTTTATTTTTAAGAGTGTAGAGTGTTTTCAGCTTGGTTATTTTCATATAAAAATACGGCATGCAGTTGCATCAAACAATGGTATAAACATCATTCAATGTAAATTGTGATAATCGTAATTAAGAATCGCAATTACAATTTCAAGGGAATAATCGACAATTATGATTTTTGTCATAATCGTGCAGCCCTAATTTTAAGTAATGATGCTTTGCAACTTTGGGCAGTGTTGCCATCGATGGGCAACAAGGTGAGACATCCAGACAGAAATTTGTTACCCATTCTCAATGGAAAAGTGCCCAAGCAACACTGCACAAAAAAAGTTGCGCTGTGTATCATCAGCCTTAGGTTCAGTCAGCTATTTTGGTTTTACAGTTAGGTTTGTTTAATTCTGACACTGAATTTGATTCTAATAGGATTTCAGACAGATCAGATGTCACTTGTACTATTTAAGTTAGACAACTTTATAATGTAGCTTTATGGGAAACACTTATGATTGTATAAAGTGCAAAGAGCAAACATTCAGCAAACAGTGTTCATGATATTTATTCTGTTGCAGCACCTGGCATACAATCTCCCTTTCATAAAATCTGAATCACATTAATACAAGTCTGCACAAAGCAGGCTTGTACATTTGGTTTTTGAGGGAATATTTGGGATGTCTTTATAGTTTTAGACAAGCTCTTACATGCTTGTGTGTGTGTGTGTGTGTGTGTGTGTGTAAAAGAAAGACCTCATCAGATGATGTCTTCACTTATAATCCGATGACTTGTCTTCATCTATAAAGAATCATATTTTTTAATATGTGTGGCCATTTAGTGTCATAAAGACCAATGTATTTCCATGACAGACCCAGGAACAAAGTGTTTTTTTTAGAAATAATATGCCTTTTTTTAAATCTTGGTTTCACTGTAAGCAGTGTTTCAAATGTTTATTTCTGTTATATATGTGTGTATATATATATATATATATATATATATATATATATGTGTGTATATATATATATATATATATATATATA